TGCCGCTGTCAGGGACAGCAGGGAGGTAACAGAGCCCTCCCCTTCTAACTCTCATATTTTCCTTTCCCTCTGGTTCCTAATTCTCTGCTGCCTTAGGCCTCTCCCTTCTGTGCCCAGAGAGCCCAAGGTGGCAACGATGGCGGAGGAGAAGCATGTGCTACTTACTAACAAGGCACCTGTTGCAGCCCATGATGGGGAAGGGGAAGAGGGACTGCTAGGGGATTTCTTCTGCACACACACAAACCACATACACACCCACCCACAGAGATCCTCCCTCCTTCCCAACAGGTCTGAGGGGGAAGCTAGTTGTGCCTTGATGAGGTAGGTGTATGTGAAAAATCCCAGCAAGGAGCAGCCTGCAGGAAGGCAGCTTGCTTTTCCTTGCTGAGTTTCTTCAGCAAGTAAGCAAACAAACGTGCATGCATGTGCACAGAGACACACACACTTCTGCACAACTGGACTTCTTTTGCTAGCTCCTTGATCTTCATGATGCAGTTTGTTTAAATATGCTCTCCAACAAACTCTGAGCTTTCCAGAAACAGGCGTATTTAATTTGAGATCATGTGACATTATAATGGTACATAGGTGGACTGTGTCACAGCAAAGGGAGTGAATATTTTCACAACCAAACAAGTGTCAGTTTGTTTTCATTAACTTTACTTCAATGCCACAATAAAAATATTAAAGTCCTAAATGGTTTGGGTCCAACCTATATTCGGGACCGCCTCATTCCATATAATCCACCCCATGCACTGAGGTCCTCTGGGAAGAATTTATTGCTACCTATAATAACTAGATTAACAGCAACTGCCCAGAGAACCTTTTCGGCTATCGGTCCCAGACTATGGAATGTCCTGCGGATGAGATCCGTCACTTGATCACCTTAAACAACTGTAAAAGCTGTTAAGATGGATCTCTTCTGGCAGGCTTTTCCTGAATAGATAGCCAGCCACTGAATTAAAAAATTATGCCTAACCCTGTTTCCCATTACAGTTATTTTAATTATAACTTGTTAATTTTAAGTATGTTTTAAATTTTAATTGTTTAATTGTATTTTAAGGGGGGGATGGGCTATTGGGGACAAACTGTTTGTTTTATCTTGTAAACTGACCCGGTTGCTTTTACAGAGAGGCGGGATATAAATAATTTATTATTATTATTATTATTATTATTATTATTATTATTATTATTATTATTTTGCATTTTCACAATGTTGAGGATCTTGTGTACATCAACTGGTAACAATGCCAATTAAAGCTGTTTCAATTCTGGGTTGCAACACAACATAATATGGAACAGTAAAAGGGATTCTGTGAATACTTTTGCAAGGTTGTGTAAATAAACAGTTCAAGATGAACTTCCAACCTACTTCTCCAAGGTACATTCTTGTTTCATCCAGAAATCAAATATTCTCTGTGACTAGACATTACCTTGACTCAGAAAGAGTCTATTTTAATCTCTGAACAATACAGTGATGCATCATCCAGACTTTACAGAGAAAATGCATCATAAAGCAAATATCTTAAAGCAAAGAATGCCAGACAAACAAACCTAATGATTAATATGGCTGGACTCTACCCCACTGTTTATTGATGTTGAGGATACAAAATATTCACCATGGAAAAGGGCAATTAATGAGTTTTTGTTTCTGTGTGCCTTCAAATCAGTTCTGACTTAGGAGTTTATCACACCCCTCTAAAAAAGCGACTTATCCCTGCTGGGATAGAGATGCTTATGGGATGCAACTGGGAATTATCACATTAAAAATGCCACCAATGCTGCTGAGTGACCACATCCCGGCTGCATCCCACCATCTAGCCACAGTCAGCTGGCCAATTTGCAAACACGCAAGTTTGCAAATTGCCCGACTGAGTGCGGCTGGGAGGCAGGATGAAGCCGGGATGCAGTTGCCCGGCAGCATTGGTGGCATTTTTAATGCACTCATTCCCGGTTGCATCCCGTAAGCGACTCTATTACAGCAGGCGTAAGTCGCTTTTTGGGGTGTTCAGAGGATGTTTGCTTGTCTTTCTCTGATTAGTGCATAGCTAATCTTAATAATCAAAACATGTAGCAAATACTTATGCATTCAGTATATTTCCCCCTTCAAGTAACTCTTTATATACTCAGATGATAATCATAGAATCATAGAGTTGGAAGAGACAACAAGGGCCATCCACTCCAACCCCCCTGCCATGCAGGAACTCAAAATCAAAGCATCCCCAACAGATGGCCATCCAGCCTCTGCTTAAAGACCTCCAAAGAAGGAGACCCCACTATATTCTGAGGGAATGTCTTCCACTGTCGAACAGCCCTTACTGTCAGGAAGTTCCTCCTAATGTTGAGGTGGAATCTCTTTTCCTGTAGCTTGCATCCATTGTTCCAGGTCCTATTCTCTGGAGCAGCAAAAAACAAGCTAGCGCCCTCCTCAATATGACATCCCTTCAAATATTTAAAGAGGGTTGTCATATCCCCTCTTAACTGTCTCTTCTCCAGGCTAAACATACCCAGTTCCCTAAGTCGTTTCCAGACCCTTCCCCATTTTAGTCACCCTCCTGTGGACACACTCCAGTTTTCATCAGTGCATGTTGTCTGGCATTTCCTTTGGTAAGTATTAGGAAGTATGCTAAATGAAAATAAAATTAATCACAGCAATGCCATCCCAACTGATAGAAGAACTGAAAAGCAACACTGCAGTGTAACAGAAAATGTCATACTAATTTCATCCAAGAAAAAAAATGACCGTTCACTGTATATCACCATGTGATTTTACAAATAATAATAACCAATATCTACGACTAGAAAAGAGCTAGGGTGCTGTAGTGATTTGAGTGTTAAACTTTGGCCTCAAACAGATACCCAAAAGGGCCGCCACATGCACATGATGCACATACCTGGATCGCTTAGAGGCCATGCTGAGGTTAAAACCGGCTGTGAAAAGAGTGGTTTCTTATCACTCCTTTTCAAGGTCCATTTTCAGGACTGCAGCAGTGGATGTGCTTGGGACTGTGGTGTCTGGTTGCCACAGACTTGTGGTGGTCCCACTCCTTCTGCCCTATCTGCTTCACTCTATGCCTCTGGAGACCAGGGTTCAAATCCTATCTCAGCCATATAAACCCACTGGGCGACCCTGGGCCAGTCACACTCTTAGAGGATGGCAATGGCAACCCCCCCCGGAAAAAAATTGTCCAGGAAACCCCATGATAGGTTTGCCTTAGGGCAGGGGTAGGCAACCTTTCCCCTTTAAGGGCCGAGGGACTTCAGCTCCCAGAATCCCAGGAGCTATTGGCCAACATGGGACTATTGGCCAACATGGCTGAGGCTTCTGGGAGCTGAAGTCCCTTGGCCCTTAAAGGGGAAAGGTTGTCTACCCCTGCCTTAGGGTTACCTTAGGGTTGCCTTAGGTTTACCATAAGTCGGCTATGACTTGAAGGCACACAACAACAACAACAACAAGAACTAGAACAATAAATTATTTAGTTGTGAGAGGCAACACTCACTGTTCCACTATTACTTTTCCTCCCTCCCTTGGCAAAACAAATTTGCCAAGAAAATTCCATGATAGGATGGCCTTAGGGTCATCATAATGACTTGAAGACACAACAAATTGTCACAGGTTTGGGCCAAACCAGATGCTGCTAAAGTCTTGCAAAATGGGGCTCACTTTACATATTAATTAGGCCCTATGATTAATTTTATTTTCCTTTTGCATACTTCCTAATTAATTAGTTGTAGATTGCCATTTGCCAGCATAGTTTAGTGGTTTGAACATTGGACTACAACTCTGGAGCCCAAGGTTCGAATCCTTGCTCAGCCATGGAAACTCAAAAGAAGGCAAAGGCAACCCCTCTGAACAAATTTGCCAAGAAAATTTGCCTTAGGGTCATCATAATGACTTGAAAACACACAACAACAAATTGTCACAGGTTTGGGCCAAACCAGATGCTGCTAAGGTCTTGCAAATTGGGGCTCACATTACATATTAATTAGGCCCTATGGAGTTCAGGATGAGGCTACTTGATATTATAGTGATGTGATGTGGTACTTTTATCAGTGACACTAAGAATGACATTAGAATTTCCCATACCTGCAAATCAAATGAAAAATCTGCACAGAACAGTATATATGCTTCATTAAAAAATCTTTCTCTCAATTTCATTTACAAATATAAATACTAGAAAATTCTAGTAAGACAAGTACAAACCAGAGTGCAGGATAAGGTTGTACAGACATCCAAAACCAAAAAATGTACCTTAGAAATATAGCTGGATCTGTGACTTAACTTTATTGTTACAATACAAGGTGGGGACAGGGGCTATAAGTGTTATTCCTTGAAGTCACTGCAGGAAGACTTGGAATACAAATATGATTTCTTGTAGATATGGATTTCTTGTTAATATTTTCTGGTAGAGTATAGGATGGTACCTAGTTTCCCAATGCTGAATATAGGAAACAACAGCTATTAGCGCTTTTGGTGCCAGCCTGTTACAAATTCATTTACAAATGCATTACAGCAAATTCCTTCTTCATGCAAAATTTAGTACATAGATCACTTGCAGATTCCTTTTGTTTGATAAGAAAGAAGAAAAGAAAATGATGCTCTGAATTTCTTTCAGATGGAGATCTATTATCACTTATTAAATTCAAATTTATTGCTGAATTTCCAGCCAAAAAAATAAAATAAAAATAGCTGTTAGCACACTATAACATAAAGCATAAATTTGACTTCACCGAATCAAAGACATTATTAAAGGAGGAAAATGACTTAATGGTCTGTCCAGCCTCATAAATCTTATTGTTCATATAAAACAAGATGACAAAATTTATGTTCACTAAACCATAGTATTAATGCAGTCACGGTGGCTGGTAGTCAAAACAATTTCTTTAGTAATCTGATGTTTAAAAATTATGAGGGCCTATATAAGGAAATGTCTAGAAGGTAATATTTACACAGAATTTTTTTGCATAGAATAGAACTTCTGAAAGCCAGCTGCCTGAAGACACTTGCAATTGTATTTTGCCATGATGTTTCATGGATGCCACGCACAATATTTTGCTCAAAAGGTTTCTTTCCATATAATATAGTGATCTACGCTGTCCACATCAGCATGTTTTCTGCATCTGTTGGCCATGGAGTCTCCACTAAATGGATAGAATTCATATGTTCTTTTAGGAAGCAAACTTTTTGGCCTGGAACAGGGGAAGGCAAACCAATGTTGCCACACTTTCTCCATTGATTTCTATGTCTTGTATGTCTGTTAAGATAGGCAAATGAAGGGAACTTGTACAGAGTTACTGCTTGCTTACACAAAGCTTGGAAACATTACTTTTGGAGGGTCCCAGAACGCCCAAGCCATTCAGGCACTACTAACTACATAGTTTTCAGGGCAGCCAAACCGTTTTGGGGAAATAGACAAAAGTAGTTATTATGACACAACTGGTTGTTGTAGCAGTGATGTGGAAACTGATTGGAGGCTTTGCCATTATTATGGAAGCAAGAACTGAAAAAAATGTTGCAAAAATGGAATCTTTTAAAACTTCTTTGAACACATCAAGGAAAATAACAACCCTATTGAAAGGAAAGGATTTTACTACAGCATTACTGAAAAACTAAAATTGGTGACCAAATGGTTGTGTTTCACTGCCAACCTTTTCTAACAGCTTCCTCAATGTGCTCAACAATTACCATTAGACATGGAATTGTCAACTTATGTAGAGGAAGCAAGCCCCATGTTAACAGAATGATAGAGTTGGAAGGGTCATCCAGTCCAACCACCTGCCATGCATTAATAGCAATATCAATAGCAAGTACATTTCTATACCACTTATCAGTGCACTTAAGCACTCCCTAAGACAGGGGTAGGCAACCTTTCCCCTTTAAGGGCCGAGGGACTTCAGCTCCCAGAAGCCTCAGCCATGTTGGCCAATAGTCCCATGTTGGCCAATAGCTCCTGGGATTCTGGGAGCTGAAGTCCCTCGGCCCTTAAAGGGGAAAGGTTGCCTACCCCTGCCCTAAGGGGTTTACAATGTGTAAGCTAATTACCCCCAGCAAGCTGGGTACTCATTTTAGTAACCTTGGAAGGATGCAAGCCTGAGTCAAGCCTGAGCCCTTGGCTGGTTTTAAACTCTCAACCTTATGGTTTGCAAGTGAGTGGCTGCAGTGCAGGCATTTAACCACTGCACCATCACAATCAAAGCATTCCAAACAGATGGCTATACAACCAATGCTTAGAAATTTCCAAAAAGGAGACTCCACTACACTCTAAGGCAGTGTATTCCACTCTTGCAAGCTCTTACTGTCAGGAAGCTCTTCCTAATTTTTAGTTGGAATCTCTTTCCCTGTAGCTTGCATCCATTGTTCCAGGTCCTATTCTCAGGAGCAGCAGCAAACAAGCTTGCTCCATCCTCAATATGTCATTCCTTCAAATATTTAAACTTGGATATCATGTCACCACTTAACCTTCTCGTCCCTAGGCTAAACATACTCAGCTCCCTAAGTCAGTCCTCGTAGGGCATGCTTTCCAGAACATCCACTATTTTTTTCACCCTCTTCTGGACATGTTTCAGCTTGTCAATCTCTCTCTCAAACCGTGGTGCCCAGAACTGGACACAGTATTCCAGGTGAAGTCTGACAAAAGTAAAATAGAGTGGTATTATTACTTTTCTTGATCTAGAGATTAGCAATAGCAATAGCATCTACATTTGTATAATGCTTCATACTGAACTAAGTAGTCTCTAAGCACTGTAAGCTAATCCAGGTACTAATTTTAGTGACCTGCAGAAGGATGCAAGGCTGAGTCAACCCTGGAGCCCTGGGATCAAAGTCACAACCTTGTGGCTGCAGTACTGACTGGCATTTAACTACTGCACCATCAGGTTGCTCCTATTGATTCAGCCTAGAGTCATATTGGCTTTTTTAGCAGCTGCATCGCACTGTTGACTCATATTCAGCTTATGGTCTATTAAGATTCCCAGATCCCTTCACATGTACTTGGGGTTAAGCCAGGTGTCCCCCAACCTATATCTGAATGTGGAGAAAAGGCAGATTGAAACGTTGGCACCACCCAATCAGAGCGAGCCTGGCAACAGCCAATGGGAGCTTAGCCAAGAAAAGGTGGGGGCTACTCTCAGGAGTGGGTATAAATAGTGACACATGTGTAAATTAGATAGGGAATTGTGAGACAGGGAGATAGAGAGCAAGCTTAAAACTAGAGTTAAAGGTTTATGTGACGCTGAGGGTTTTTTTTTTTTATCAGCCAGGGAAGTAATACTTTTATTGCTGAGAATGCTCAAAATAGTGAGTGCCCTGTATCCCTAAAGAGTGGCACCTGAGAAAAGAAAAGTGTGGAAGGAATTCAAGTGAGAGATCCACGTTCAAGGGTCTCGCCATGCAGTTTGGTGCCAAGCAGTGGGGTGAAATAAGAAAAAACTAACCCAGGGTTTTGAGTGAAAATCTCACAATTAGTTATTGGTGGCAGCTAGGGAGGTAGCTGTCACAGTGGGCTTTTATTTTTTTCCTGCCTAAGTATAGTACCTTACATTTCTTCCTGTTGAAATTCATTTTGGACTTTTACAGACTGCCAGAATTAATGCAAATTGAGTCCACTTTAACTGTCCTGGCATAGTGCTAGGGAATCGTGGGAATTGTAGTTTTTTTCTGAGGCATTGAGCCTTCTCTGTCAGAGAGCTCTGGTGCCACAATAAACTACAGTTCCCATGATTCCCTACCACTGACCCAGTTCAGTTAAAGTGGACTCAAGTTGCATTATTTCTGGCAGTCTGTAAAGGCCCTTTGTTAGTTTTGGCCCAAATGTCAAATCTGTTAAGATCATCTCCCCTTTTTCTGAATGCAGCATGGTGTCATCCACATATATTATTGTTGATGTTCCTTCCTCCTCTTTATTCTGAGTCTAAAGCTGCTCTTAATATGATAGTTTCTGCATACAAGTTAAACAGGTAGGGTGATAATATGCAGCTTTGCCTGACCTCCTTGCCAACTGTGAACCATTCTGTTTCTCCTTATTCTGTTCTAACTGTAGTCTCTTGTTCTAAGTACAGATTTCTCATTAGGATCATCAAATGTAATGTCTTTAAGAGTGTTGCATAGTTTTTCATGATCTATGAAATCAAAGACTTTGCTGTAGTCTATAAAGCATATGCTAATTTTCTTCTGGAATACCTTGGGTATGCCATTAGCCATTGTATGTTTGCAATGTGGTACCCAGTATCTCTGGATTTCCTGAACCCTGTTTGCACCTCTGGGATTTCTCTCTTCATGTATTGATTAGATTAGAGTCTATTTTGGAGAATTTTAAGCATAATTTTGCTCATGTGGGAAACTGACGCTATGGTCCTATAGTTGCTGCAGTCTTTTGTGTCTCATCTTTTGTGGATGGGAATCTATATTGAACATTTTCAGACTGTTGTCCATCATTTTGTTTTCCATACTTATTGGCATATTTTAGTTAACACTGGAGCTAATACCGTTTGTATGGATTTTATCAGCTCAATTGGAATATCATTTGTTCCTGGTGCTTTGTTCTTCCCAATTTTTTCTTTATGCAGCTTCCATCTTGCTTTGAAGAATTTGGGGTTTCTCTTCATATGCTTCTTCATTCCAAGTGTCATTCATTTTTCCCATCTGTTTTATATAGCTTTTCTGTGTATTGCAACCAACATTTTCTTATTTCTTCTTGGTCTTGCAGTATGCTCCTCTTCCTATCACAGAGTATCCCACCCTTTAGTTTGAACTTCCCTTTGAGTTCTCTAATCTTGTGGAAGAAATCTCTTATTCTTCCTTATTTGTTATTGTCTTCT